GTTCTTTTAGTGTCATTATTGCTTCCTCACCTTTCATCTTAACAGTCATCCATATGTTTTAGTCATCCATATGTTTTTTAGTCATCCATATGTTCTTTAGTGTCATTATTGCTTCCCTCACCTTTTCCACTTCCTTAACAGTCATCCATATGTTTTAGTCATCCATATGTTTTTAGTCATCCATATGTTCTTTAGTGTCATTATTGCTTCCCTCACCTTTTCCACTTCCTTAACACAGTCATCCATATGTTTTTAGTCATCCATATGTTTTTTTTAGTCATCCATATGTTCTTTAGTCATCCATATATGTTCATATTTTTTGTCATCCATATTTCTTTAGTGTCCTCTCACCTTTTCACTTCCTTAACAGTCATCCATATTTTTAGTCATCCATATGTTTTTTAGTCATCCATATGTTTTTTAGTCATCCATATGTTCTTTAGTGTCATTATTGCCCTCACCTTTTCCACTTCCTTAACAGTCATCCATATGTTTTTAGTCATCCATATGTTTTTAGTCATCCATATGTTCTTTAGTGTCATTATTGCTTCCCTCACCTTTTCCACTTCCTTAACAGTCATCCATATGTTTTAGTCATCCATATGTTTTTTATGTTCTTTTAGTGTCATCCACCTTTTATGTCATCCATATGTTTTAGTCTCCATGTTTTTAGTCATCCATATGTTCTTTAGTCATCCATATGTTCATTGCTTCCCTCCTTTCCACTTCCTTAACAGTCATCATATGTTTTTAGTCATCCATATGTTTTTAGTCATCCATATGTTCTTTAGTGTCATTATTGCTTCCCTCTTTTTTCATTAACAGTTTTATCATATGTTTTTAGTCATCCATATGTTTTTAGTCATCCATATGTTCTTTAGTGTCATTATTGCTTCCCTCACCTTTTCCACTTCCTTAACAGTCATCCATATGTTTTTAGTCATCCATATGTTTTTAGTCATCCATATGTTCTTTAGTGTCATATATTTCTTTCCCTCAATTTTTCCACTTCCTTAACAGTCATCCATGTTTTAGTCATCCATATGTTTTAGTCATCCATATGTTTTTTAGTCATCCATGTTCTTTAGTGTCATTATTGCTTCCCTCACCTTTTCCACTTCTTAACAGTCATCCATCCATCCATATGTTCAGTGTCATTATTATCACCTTTTTCCACTTTTTAGTCATCATCATCCATATGTTTTTAGTCATCCATATGTTCTTTAGTGTCATTATTGCTTCCCTTTTCACCTTTCCAGTCTTCCATATGTTTTTAATCCATAGTTTTCATCCATATGTTTTAGTGTCATCCATATGTTTTTAGTCATCCATGTTTTAGTTCTTTAGTGTCATTATTGCTTCCCTCACCTTTTCCACTTCCTTAACAGTCATCCATATGTTTTTAGTCATCCATATGTTTTAGTCATCCATATGTTCTTTAGTCATCCATATGTTCTTTTTTCATCCATATGTTTTTAGTCATTATTGCTTCCCTCACTTTTCCACTTCCAATAGTCATAACAGTCATCCATATGTTTTTAGTGTCATTATTGCTTCCTCACCTTTTTCCACTTCCCTAGCACACATATGTTTTAGTCATCCATATGTTTTTTAGTCATCCATATGTTTTTTCATCCATATGTCTTTATCTTCCCTCACCTTTTTCCACTTTTTAACAGTCATCCATAGTTTCATCCATATGTTTTTTAGTCATCCATATGTTTTTTAGTCATCCATATGTTCTTTTTAGTGTCATTATTGCTTCCCTCACCTTTTAACAGTCATCCATATGTTTCTTTTAACAGTCATCCATGTTGTTTTTTAGTGTCATTATTGCTTCCTCACCTTTTTTTTAGTCATCCATATGTTTTAGTCATCCATATGTTTTAGTCATCCATATGTTCATTAGTGTGCTTCCCTCACCTTTTCACTTCCTTAACAGTCATCCATATGTTTTTAGTCATCCATGTTTTAGTCATCCATGTTCTTTAGTCATCCATATGTTCTTTAGTGTCATTATTGCTTCCCTCACCTTTTCCACTTCCTTAACAGTCATCCATATGTTTTAGTCATCCATATGTTTTTAGTCATCCATATGTTTTTAGTGTCATTCTGCTTCCCTCACCTTTTAATTTCCCTAACAGTCATCCATATGTTTTAGTCATCCATATGTTTTTAGTCATCCATATGTTCTTTAGTGTCATTATTGCTTCCCTCACCTTTTCCACTTCTTAACAGTCATCCATATGTTTTTAGTCATCCATATGTTTTGTTTTTAGTCATCCATATGTTTTAGTGTCATTCCACCTTTTCCATAACAGTCATCCATATGTTTTTAGTCATCCATATGTTTTTAGTCATCCATATGTTCTTTAGTGTCATTATTGCTTCCTCTCCTTTTCCTTTCCTTAATAGTCATCCATATATGTTTTTAGTCATCCATGTTTTTAGTCATCCATATGTTTTAGTGTCATTATTGCTTCCCACCTTTTTCCACTTTTTAACAGTCATCCATATGTTTTTAGTCATCCATATGTTTTTAGTCATCCATATGTTCTTTAGTCATCCATATGTTCTTAGTGTCCTCACCTTTCCACCTTTTCATTTCCTTAACAGTCATCCATATGTTTTTAGTCATCCATATGTTTTAGTCATCCATATGTTCTTTAGTGTCATTATTGCTTCCCTCACCTTTTCCACTTCCTTAACAGTCATCCATATGTTTTGTCATTTTTTAGTCATCCATATATATTTTAGTCATCCATATGTTCTTTAGTGTCATTAGTCATCACCTTTTACTTCTTAACAGTCATCCATATGTTTTTTAGTTATGTTTTTTAGTCATCCATATGTTCTTTAGTGTCATTATTGCTTCCATATGTTTTTAGTCATCCTCACCATATTTCCTGTCATTATTAACAGTCACCTTTTCCACTTTTAACAGTCATCCATATGTTTTAGTCATCATATGTTTTAGTCATCCATATGTTCTTTAGTGTCATTATTGCTTCCCTCACCTTTTCCACTTCCTTAACAGTCATCCATATGTTTTAGTCATCCATATTTTGTTTTTAATCTTTTTCCACTTCTTGTCATCCATATGTTTTTTTGTCATCATTAGTGTCATTATTCCTCCTTTTTCCACTTCCTTTAACAGTCATCCATATGTTCCCATCCATATGTTTTAGTCATCCATATGTTTTTTAGTGTCATTATTGTCCTCACCTTTTTTTTAGTCATCCATGTTTTAGTCATCATATGTTTTTAGTCATCCATATGTTCTTTAGTGTCATTATTGCTTCCCTCACCTTTTCCACTTCCTTAACAGTCATCCATATGTTTTAGTCATGTTCTTTAGTCATCCATATGTTCTTTAGTGTTTAGTCATCCATTTAGTCATCATATAAGCTTTTTTAGTCATATGTTCTTTATGTCATTTTGCTTCCTCACCTTTTCCACTTCCTTAACAGTCATCCATATGTTTTTAGTCATCCATATGTTTTTAGTCATCCATATGTTCTTTAGTGTCATTATTGTCATCCATGTTTTAGTCATCCCTCAGTGTCCTTTTCCCTTTTTTAACAGTCATCCATATGTTTTAGTCATCCATATGTTTTTTAGTCATCCATATGTTCTTTTAGTGTCATTATTGCTTCCTCACCTTTTCCCTTCCTTAACAGTCATCCATATGTTTTTTAGTCATCCATATGTTTTTAGTCATCCATATGTTCTTTAGTCATCATTATATGGCCCTCACCTTTCCTTCCTTAACAGTCATCCATATAGTCATCCATATGTTTTAGTCATCCATATGTTTTTAGTCATCCATATGTTCTTTAGTGTTCTTCCCTCACCTTTTCACTTCCTTAACAGTCATCCATATGTTTAGTCATCCATATTTTTTTAGTCATCCATATGTTCTTTAGTCATCCATATGTCATTATTGCTTCCCTCACCTTTTCCACTTTAACAGTCATCATATTTTTTAGTCATCCATATGTTTTAGTCATCCATATGTTCTTTAGTGTCATTATTGTTTCCTCACCTTTTCCATAACAGTCATCCATATGTTTTTAGTCATCCATATGTTTTAGTCATCCTATGTTTTAGTGTCATTTTCATTTTTCCACTTCCTCTTACAGTTCTTTATGTTTTAGTCATTATGTTTTTAGGCTTTACCACCTTTTCCACTTCCTTAACAGTCATCCATATGTTTTTTAGTCATCCATATGTTTTAGTCATCCATATGTTCTTTAGTGTCATTATTGCTTCCCTCACCTTTTTCCACTTCTTAACAGTCATCCATATGTTTTTAGTCATCCATATGTTTTTTTAGTCATCCATATGTTCTTTTTAGTCATCCATATGTTCTTTCCCTCTAACAGTCTTTTCCCTTCCATATGTTTTTTCCATTATGTTAACAGTCATCCATATGTTTTTAGTCATTATGTTTTTAGTCATCCATATGTTTTTTTTTAGTCATCCATATGTTCTTTAGTCATCCATGTTCTTTAGTGTCATTATTGTTTCCCTCATCCATATGTTTTTTTCCATATGTTCTTTAGTGTCATTAGTCATCCATGTATGTTTTAGTCATCCATATGTTTTTTAGTCATCCATATGTTCTTTAGTGTCATTATTGCTTCCTAATAGTCATCCATATGTTTTTTCATCCATATGTTTTTAGTCATCCATGTTCTTTTTAGTGTCATTTTTCACCTTTTCCACTTCCCTTGTCATCCATAGTTTTAGTCATCCATATGTTTTTTAGTCATCCATATGTTCTGTTTTAAAGGTCATAGACTTCCTTGTCATCCATATGTTTTTTCATGTTTTAGTCATCCATATGTTTTTAGTGTATTACACCTTTCACTTCCTTAACAGTCATCCATATGTTTTAGTCATCCATATGTTTTAGTCATCCATATCCACTTCCTTAACAGTCATCCATATGTTTTTTTCATTTTCTTTAGTCATTATTGCTTCTCTTTTTCACCATGTCATCCATATGTTCTTTAGTGTCATCCATATAGCCCTCATTATTTTCCACTTCCTTAACAGTCATCCATATGTTTTTAGTCATCCATATGTTTTTAGTCATCATATGTTCTTTAGTGTCATTATTTAACCCTCCTTTTCCTTATGATCATCCTATGTTTTAGTCATCCATATGTTTTAGTCATCCATGTATTCTTTAGTGTCATTATTGCTTCCATCCCTTTTCCACTTCCTTAACAGTCATCCATATGTTTTAATTCTGTTTTTAGTCATCCATATGTTGTACTTCCTCCCCACCTTTTCCACTTTTAGTCATCCATATGTTCTTTAGTGTCATTATTGCTTCCCTCACCTTTTCACTTCTTAACAGTCATCCCTTTTTCATCCATATGTTTTTGGTCATCCATATGTTTTTAGTGTCATCCATAGTCATTTGTTTTGGTCATCCTACGTCATATATTTCTTTAGTGTCATTATTTGCTTCCTCACCTTTTCCACTTTGTAAACAGTCATCCATATGTTTTAGTCATCCATATGTTTTAGTCATCCATATGTTCTTTAGTGTCATTATTGCTTCCTCACCTTTTCCACTTCCTTAACAGTCATCCATATGTTTTTAGTCATCCATATGTTTTTAGTCATCCATATATGTTCTTTAGTGTCATTGTTACTTCCCTCTTTTCCACTTCTTAACAATCATCCATATTTTTTAGTCATCCATATGTTTTAGTCATCCATATGTTTCTTTAGTGTCATCCCTCACCTTTTCACTTCCTTAACAGTCATCCATGTTTTAGTCATCCATATGTTTAGTCATCCATATGTTCTTTAGTGTCCCTCACCTTTTTCTTAACAGTCATCCATTTTTGTCTTCCCTATGTTTTTAGTCATCCATATATTCTTCATATGTTTATTCATCCATATTTTTTTAGTCATCCATATGTTTTTTCATCCATATAGTCATCATAGTGTATTATTGCTTCCCTCACCTTTTCCCTTCAGTCATCCATAAGTCATCCATATGTTTTAGTCATCCATCCATAACAGTCATTTTAGTCATCCATATGTTTTTAGTCATCCATATGTTCCACCTTTTCCACTTATCATCCATGTTTTGTTTTTAGTCATCCTATGTTTTAACAGTCATCCATATGTTTTAGTCATCCATATATGTTTTTAGTCATCCATATGTTCTTTAGTGTCATTATTGCTTCCCTCACCTTTTCCACTTCCTTAACAGTCATCCATATGTTTTAGTCATCCATATGTTTTTAGTCATCCATATGTTTCTTTAGTGTCATTATTGCTTCCTCACCTTTTCCTTCCTTAACAGTCATCCATATGTTTTTCATCCATATGTTTTTAGTCATCCATATGTTCTTTAGTCATTCCATATGTTTTGTTTTAGTCATCATATGTTTTAGTCATCCTTGTATGTTTCTTTGGTGTCATTATTGCTTCCCTCACCTTTTCACTTCCTTAACAGTCATCCACCTTTCCACTTTTAGTCATCCATATGTTTTAGTCATCCATGTTTTTAGTTTTAGTCATCCCTTTTTCCACTTTAGGTCATCATGTTTATTTATGTTTTTTCCCTATGTTCTTTAGTGTCTTTTCCACCTTTTCCATATTAACAGTCATCCATATGTTTTTTAGTCATCCATATGTTTTTAGTCATCCATATGTTCTTTAGTGTCATTATTGCTTCCCTCACCTTTTTCCACTTCCTTAACAGTCATCCATATGTTTTTAGTCATCCATATGTTTTAGTCATCCATATGTTCTTTAGTGTCATTGTTCTTTTTGTCATCCATATGTTTTAGTCATCCATATGTTTTTAGTCATTTGTTCTTTAGTGTCATTATTGCTTCCCTCACCTTTTCACTTCCTTAACAGTCATCCATATGTTTTTAGTCATCCATATGTTTTTTAGTCATCCATATGTTCTTTAGTCATCTATATTTCTTTGTCATTATTGCTTCCTCACCTTTTCCTTCCTTAACAGTCATCCATGTTTTAGTCATCCATATGTTTTTAGTCATCCATATGTTCTTTAGTGTCATTATTGCTTCCTCACCTTTTCCACTTCCTTAACAGTCATCCATATGTTTTGTCATCCATATGTTTTAGTCATCCATATGTTTCTTTATGTTTTAACAGTCATCCATATGTTTTTTATTTTTTAGTCATCCATATGTTCTTTTTTTAGTCCCCTTTTCCACTTATGTCATCTTTAGTGTCATTGTTTTGCTTCCCTGTGCTTCCACCTTTTCCACTTCCTTAACAGTCATCCATATGTTTTTAGTCATCCATATGTTTTAGTCATCCATATGTTCTTTAGTGTCATTATTGCTTCCCTCACCTTTTTCCACTTCCTTAACAGTCATCCATATGTTTTTTAGTCATCCATATGTTTTTAGTCATCATATGTTTTTAGTCATCCATATGTTCTTTAGTGTCATTTCCTTTTAGTCATAACAGTCATCCATATGTATGTCATCAGTCATCCATATGTTTGTCATCCATTTTTTAGTCATCCATATATTTCTTTAGTGTCATTATTGCTTCCCTCACCTTTTCCACTTCCTTAACAGTCATCCAGTCATCCATATGTTTTAGTCATCCATATGTTCTTTTTTATGTTCATCCATATGCTTCCCTCTTTAGTCTCATTTTAGTGTTTTAGTCATCAGTTTTAGTGTTATTGCTTCCCTCACCTTTTCCACTTCCTAACAGTCATCCATATGTTTTTAGTCATCCATATGTTTTAGTCATCCATATGTTTTTAGTCATCCACCTTATATTCTTTAGTGTCATTATTGCTTCCCTCACCAGTTTTCCACTTCCTTAACAGTCATCCATATGTTTTTAGTCATCCATATGTTTTTTAGTCATCCATATGTTCTTTAGTGTCATTATTCTTCCCTCACCTTTTCCACTTCACTTAACAGTCATCCATATGTTTTAGTCATCCAATGTTCATGTCATTATTGCCTCCCCTTTTTCCACTTTAACAGTCATCCATATGTTTTAGTCATCCTGTCTTTTTAGTCATCCATATGTTCTTTAGTGTCATTATTTTCCTCACCTTTTCTTCACAGTCATCCATGTTTTTAGTCGTCCATATGTTTTTTAGTCCATATGTTCTTTAGTTCATTATTGCTTCCCTCACCTTCCCACTTCCTTAACAGTCATCCATATGTTTTAGTCATCCATATGTTTTTAGTGTCATATGTTTGCTTTTAGTGTCATTATTGCTTCCCTCATCCATTTTTCATGTTTTAGTCATATTTTTAGTCATCCATATGTTTTTGTCCATATGTTTTAGTCTCCACCATTTTTAGTCATCCCCATATTTTTTAGTCATAACAGTCATCCATATGTTTTTAGTCATCCATATTTTAGTTCTTTCTTTAGTGTCGTGTGCTTCCCTCACCTTTTCCTTCCTTAACAGTCATCCATATGTTTTTAGTCATATCTTTTTTAGTCATCCATATGTTCTTTAGTCATCCATATGTTCTTTAGTGTCATTATTATACCTTTTCTTTTAGTCATCCATATGTTTTTAGTCATCCATATGTTTTTAGTCATCCATATGTTCTTTATTGTTATTGCTTCCCTCACCTTTTCCACTTCCTTAACAGTCATCCATATGTTTTTAGTCATCCATATGTTTTTAGTCATCCATATGTTCTTTAGTGTCATTATTGCTTCCCTCACCTTTCCACTTCCTTAACAGTTTTTAGTCATCCCTCACCTTTTCCACTTCTTTTAACAGTCATCCATATGTTTTTAGTCATCCATATGTTTTTTAGTCATCCATATGTTCATATATGTTCTTTAGTGTCATTATTGCTTCCCTCCACTTCCTTTTCCACTTTTTAACAGTGTCATATGTTTTAGTCATCCATATGTTTTTAGTCATCCATATGTTCTTTAGTGTCATTATGCTTCCCTCACCTTTTCCACTTTTTAACAGTCATCCATATGTTTAGTCATTTATGTTTTTTATGTTCTTTAGTCATCCATATGTTCTTTAGTGTCATTATGGCTTCCTCACCTTTTCACTTCCTTAACAGTCATCCATATGTTCTTTTTAGTCATCCATATGTTTTAGTCATCCATATGTTTTTAGTCATCCATATGTTCTTTAGTGTCTTTATTATTGCTTCCTCACCTTTTCCCACTTCCTTAACAGTCATCCATATGTTTTTAGTCATCCATATGTTTTTTAGTCATCCACTTATGTTTTTCTTTAGTGTCATTATTGCTTCCCTCACCTTTTCACTTCATAACAGTCATCCATATGTTTTTAGTCATCCATATGTTTTTAGTCATCCATATGTTCTTTAGTGTCATTTTGCTTCCTCACCTTTTTTCAGTCATCATCTTAGTCATCCATATGTTTTAGTCATCCATATGTTCTTTAGTGTCATCATATTTTTTTAGTCATCCATATGTTTTAGTTCCATATGTTTTTAGTCATCCATATGTTCTTTAGTGTCATTATTGCTTCCCTCACCTTTTCACTTCCTTAACACTTATGTTTCATCCATATGTTTTTAGTCATCCATATGTTTTTTAGTCATCCATATGTTCTTTAGTGTCATTATTGCTTCCTCACCTTTTCCACTTGTAACAGTCATCCATGTGTTTTTAGTCATCATATGTTTTAGTCATCCATATGTTCTTTAGTGTCATTGCTTCCTCACCTTTTCCACTTCCTTAACAGTCCATATGTTTTAGTCATCCATATGTTTTAATCATCCATATGTTTTTAGTGTCATTATCCCTTTTCCACTTCCTTATGTTTTAGTCATCCATATGTTTTAGTCTCCATATGTTTTAGTCATCCATATGTTCTTTAGTGTCATTATTGCTTCCCTCACCTTTTCCACTTCCTTAACAGTCATCCATATGTTTTGTCATCCATATGTTTTTAGTCATCCATATGTTTTAGTCATCCATATGTTCTTTCCATGTGTCATTATGTTCTTTGCATTATTCCTCACCTTTTCCACTTCCTTAACAGTCATCCATATGTTTTGTCATCCATATTTTTAGTCATCCATATGTTCTTTAGTTTTTGCTTCCTCACCTTTTCACTTCCTTAACAGTCATCCATATGTTTTTCATCCATATGTTTTAGTCATCCATATGTTTTTTAGTCATCCATATGTCATTAGTGTTGCTTCCCTCACCTTTTCACTTCCTTAACAGTCATCCATATGTTTTTAGTCATCCATATGTTTTTAGTCATCCATATGTTCTTTAGTGTCATTATTGCTTCCCTCACCTTTTCCCTTCCTTAACAGTCATCCATATGTTTTTAGTCATATGTTTTTTAGTCATCCATATGTTTTTTAGTGTCATCCATCACCTTTTTCTTTTAACAGTCATGTATATGTTTTTAGTCATCCATATGTTTTAGTCATCCTTCCCTCACCTTTTCACTTCCTTAACAGTCATCCATATGTTTTTAGTCATCCATATGTTTTAGTCATCCATATGTTCTTTTGTCATTATTGCTTCCCTCACCTTTTCCACTTCTTAACAGTCATCCATATGTTTTAGTCATCCATATGTTTTTAGTCATCAGTATTCTTTAGTCATTATTGCTTCCCTCACCCTTTTCACTTCCTTAACAGTCATCCATATGTTTTTAGTCATCCATATGTTTTAGTCATCCATATGTTCTTTAGTCATCCATATGTTCTTTAGTGTCATTATTGCTTCCCTCACCTTTCACTTCCTTAACAGTCATCCATATGTTTTAGTCATCCATATGTTTTTTTCATCCATATGTTCTTTTGTCATTATTGCTTCCCTCACCTTGTTCTTTTACAGTCATCCTTTGTTTTTAGTCATCCATATGTTCTTTTTTTAGTCATCCATATGTTATGTTTTAGTCATCCATATGTTTTTAGTCACCTTTTCACCTTCCTTAACAGTCATCCATATGTTTTAGTCATCCATATGTTTTGGTCATCCATATGTATTTCTTTAGTGTCATTATTGCTTCCCTCACCTTTTCCACTTCCTTAACAGTCATCCATATGTTTTAGTCATCCATATGTTTTTAGTCATCCATATGTTCTTTAGTGTCATTATTGCTTCCCTCACCTTTTCCACTTCCTTAACAGTCATCCATATGTTTTTAGTCATCCATATGTTTTAGTCATCCATATGTTCTTTAGTGTCATTATTATTGCTTCACCTTTTCACCTTTTCATCCATATGTTTTTAGTCTTCCTTAACAGTCATCATATGTTTTAGTCAGTCATATGTTTTTAGTCATCCATATGTTTTTAGTCATCCATATGTTCTTTAGTGTCATTATTGCTTCCCTCACCTTTTCCACTTCCTTAACAGTCATCCATATTTTTTAGTCATCCATATGTTTTTAGTCATCCATATGTTCTTTAGTGTCATTATTGCTTCCCTCACCTTTTCCACTTCCTTAACAGTCATCCATATGTTTTTAGTCATCCATATGTTTTTAGTCATCCATATGTTCTTTAGTGTCATTATTGCTTCCCTCACCTTTTCCACTTCCTTAACAGTCATCCATATGTTTTTAGTCATCCATATGTTTTTAGTCATCCATATGTTCTTTAGTCATCCATATGTTCTTTAGTGTCATTATTGCTTCCCTCACCTTTTCCACTTCCTTAACAGTCATCCATATGTTTTTAGTCATCCATATGTTTTTAGTCATCATATGTTCTTTAGTGTCATTATTCCCTCACCTTTTCCACTTCTTAACAGTCATCCATATGTTTTTAGTCATCCATATGTTTTAGTCATCCATATGTTCTTTAGTATCATTGTTGCTTCCCTCACATTTTTCCACTTCCTTAACAGTCATCCATATGTTTTAGTCATCCATATGTTTTTAGTCATCCATATGTTCTTTAGTCATCCATATATTTCTTTAGTGTCATTATTGCTTCCTCACCTTTTCCACTTCCTTAACAGTCATCCATATGTTTTTAGTCATCCATATGTTTTAGTCATCCATATGTTCTTTTTATATGTTTGTCATTATTGTTTTTCCTCACCTTTTACTTCTTTAACAGTCATCCATATTTTTAGTCATCATATGTTTTTAGTCATGTTCTTTAGTCATCCATTATTGCTTCCCTCACCTTTTCCACTTTTAGTCATCCATATGTTTTTAGTCATCCATATGTTTTAGTCATCCATATGTTCTTTAGTGTCATTATTGCTTCCCTCACCTTTTCCACTTCCTTAACAGTCATCCATATGTTTTAGTCATCCATATGTTTTAGTCATCCATATGTTCTTTAGTGTCATTATTGCTTCCCTCACCTTTTCCACTTCCATAACAGTCATCCATATGTTTTTAGTCATCCATATGTTTTAGTCATCCATATGTTCTTTAGTGTCATTATTGCTTCCTCATTTTCACTTCCTTAACAGTCATCCATATGTTTTAGTCATCCATATGTTTTTTAGTCATCCATATGTTTTTTAGTGTCATTATGTTCTTTAGTGTCATTATTGCTTTTCTTTTTCCACTATGTAACAGTCATCCATATGTTTTAGTCATCCATATGTTTTTAGTCATCCATATGTTCTTTAGTGTCATTATTGCTTCCCTCTTTTTCCTTCCTTAACAGTCATCCATATGTTTTAGTCATCCATATATCAATGTTTTTAGTGTCATTATTCCTCACCTTTTTACATAACAGTCATCCATATGTTTTTTAGTCATCCATATGTTTTTTAGTCATCCATATGTTCTTTAGTGTCATTGCTTCCCTCTTTTCAGTCTTAATTTTAGTCATCCATATGTTTTAGTCATCCATATGTTTTTAGTCATATATATTTCTTTAGTGTCATTATTGCTTCCCTCACCTTTTCCACTTCCTTAACAGTCATCCATATGTTTTTAGTCATCCATATGTTTTTTAGTCATCCATATGTTCTTTAGTGTCATTATTGCTTCCCTCACCTTTTCCACTTCCTTAACAGTCATCCATATGTTTTTAGTCATCCATTGTTTTAGTCATCCATATGTTCTTTAGTGTCATTATTGCTTCCCACCTTTCCACTTCCTTAACAGTCATCCATATGTTTTAGTCATCCATATGTTTTTAGTCATCATATGTTCTTTAGTGTCATTATTGGCTTCCCTCACCTTTTCCACTTCCTTAAAGTCATCCATATGTTTTAGTCATCCATATGTTTTAGTCATCCATATGTTCTTTAGTGTCATTATTGCTTCCCTCACCTTTTCCACTTCCTTAACAGTCATCCATGTTTTTAGTCATCCATATGTTTTTAGTCATCCATATGTTCTTTAGTGTCATTATTGCTTCCCTCACCTTTTCCACTTCCTTAACAGTCATCCATATGTTTTTAGTCATCCATATGTTTTAGTCATCCATATGTTCTTTAGTGTCATTATTGCTTCCCTCACCTTTTCCACTTCCTTAACAGTCATCCATATGTTTTTAGTCATCCATATGTTTTTTAGTCATCCATATGTTCTTTAGTGTCATTATTGGCTTCCCTCACCTTTTCCACTTCCTTAACAGTCATCCATATGTTTTAGTCATCCATATGTTTTTAGTCATCCATATGTTCTTTAGTGTCATTATTGCTTCCTCACCTTTTTCCCTTCCTTAACAGTCATCCATATGTTTTTAGTCATCCATATGTTTTTAGTCATCCATATGTTCTTTAGTGTCATTTATTGCTTCCCTCACC